GACAAAATTTCCATCAGTCAATTAGAAAAGGCCACACTGCTTGGATCTGCACATATGCTATGTCAATACATTACAACATTCTAGGTTCTTGGGAAGAACTAGGTGAAAATTAAAACCAACACCAGCTAAAGAACTGGCAGCTGTGATTTTATATTGTTGTATACGTAATAATATGTACTCCACGTACTACTAAAACTTTTGTTCTTTATATCTCTGAAACTCTGATTCAATGGAGAACAGATTGTCTAATAATGATGATGGGTGTGGCAGTACCTGGAGACAGCAGAAAAGAAGAGAAAGAATTGGAGAAAATCACAAAATACAAAGACCTGTAAATATTAGTTGAAGAACTGTGGCAAAAGAAAGCAAAGATAGTACTAATGGTGCCTTGGGTACAATCTCAAAATAGCTGAAGCATCACTTGAACATCATTGGCATTGACAAAATTACATTAGTCAATTGCAAAAGGAAGCTTTACTCAGAACAATTTACATCCTGCGATGATACTTTAATACAATAAAACAACAACATATGCCTATCCCAGATCTCAGATTTGGCACTTTATCCACTTAGTAGGTAAATAAAATGCCAAATCCACACTAAACATCTAGCTGACTGTACGAATAATTATATTATATTATATTATATTATATTATATTATATTATATTATATACCGATGACAATGGGTATCACGGTTGCATGTTTCTTCCATAGCCTTGTATACCAGGCCGTCGAAACTACAAGGCTATGGAAGAAACATGCAACCGTGATACCCATTGTCATCGGGGCACTTGGTACCATGTCCAAGAATTTTACAAAACACATCAAGAAATTGCAGCTTCCTGCAATAACACCAGCGGAACTGCAAAAAACTGTGCTACTCAAAACATCATATATTTTAAGAAGATACTTGGTTGATATCTAGGATGCTGGCAGCAACCCGTATCAACCATTAGCACTAGTCAATGGTATTTATGACACATCTTTAAATGTTCAGTTGACTGAGTTTCATGTTTAATGAATAAAGTATACAATAATGTGTTGTATTTTTTACATAATGACAAGTAGACATGATCGAGTTGCTAAATTAGTCCACTGGTTATTATGTAAAAAATACGACATACCTGTATCCAAAAAGTACTGGGAGCAACAAGTGGAAAAAGTTATCAAAAATGAGACAGTGAAGATCTTGTGGGACTTTTGAATACAGACGGATCATCATTTGGAACATAACATGCCAGATATCACGGTTGTTGAGGACCGAAGCATAGTTTATTGATATCACTGTACCAGGAGATGCCACATTCGAAGATTTCTAACTGAGAAAGGAGAAAAGCAAATGACCCTGGAAATTATAGACCCATAATCTGTTTGCCAATAACTTACAAATTATTAATGGGCATAATTGCAAATAAAATCTATAGTTATTTGAAAAAAAATATTTACCCTTTAGAACAAAAAGTTTGCTGCAAAAATCTGAGAGAAACCTATTGTTGATTGATATTTTTTAAAAAGAATTTAAAAAACTGTTTATAGTTTAGATAGACTATAAAAAGGCATTCTGTTTTGCAATAGCTGGGTTGAGAAATCTCTTGAAATTTTTGGAATCAGCAGAAAGATTTGACAACTTATGAATACTTCAATGACGTTTTGGTGAATGACGGTAATGGCTAATGGAATTAGGGCTTAGGAAAAATCTAAATCAAATGTGGAATTTTCCATAGTAACTCATTTAAACCTTTCCTTTTTATTCTATCAATGTTCCCAAAATCAACAGTTTTGAACAAGATATACTTGGGATATAAATTGGTCAAAAAAGGATGAAAAGTTCACATATACTCTAGGTGGATGATTTAAAATTATTTGGAAAAACAAAAGCTGAACTAGATTCCTTATTCAAAAGCACAGAAGACTACAGTAAAGATATTGTGGTTTGGCATTGACAAGTGTGCAACCATTGCCATAAAGGGAGACAAAATTGTTGGAAGATGATAGAATATAGCTTAACAATAAAGATTAGATAAAAGCAATAGCCCTAGAAAAAGGCTAAAATATTTTTGATTTTTGGAAGCAACTAATTTATTACAGAATCAAGTCATGAAAAATATTTCTACCAAATATATCAAATGAGTGTAGAAAATTTTGAAATTCAAGCTGAATGATGGAAACATCATTAAAGCAATTAATACCTAGGCAGTTCCTATTATTCAATATACAGCAGGAATAGTTGATTGGACCCAGATGGAAATTGATAAATTGGATTGGAATACAAGAAAATGAATCATAGTGCAGCATGCTTAGTACAAAAAAATTATATTGATTGGCTGCATTGACCAAGAGCTTAAGGGGTTAGAGGATTCCACAGATGAAAAAATTGTGGAGGAAGAAAAGAACAGTCTGAATGACTACATTAAGAAAAGCCAAGAAACTTTGCTGTAGACAGTCAATCAAGGTTTTAAAGGTTCTATATCATGGCTGAATATAGAAAAGAAACAATTAAAACTGATTTGTTAATTGCAAGAACAAGTCAATGCATGATCAATGCATGAAGGTTACAGAACCAAAAGCTGATTTAAAAAAAAACACCCCACACAGACTTGGTTAAGATATGGAGTGTTAAAAAAAGAAACTGAAGGCTTTATTTGAATGGTTCAAGAACAAGTTTTTCTAACTAACTACATGTAAAATCCACAGCAAACATCATCTTTATAATAGAAAATATAATAGAAAAGGATGAAACAATTGATCATTTGATCAGTGACTGCAGCAAAATTTCACAAACTGATTACAAACAGCATCATGAATGGCTTGCCAGAATTATTCACTAGAAACCTTGCCAGAGGCTTACATTTGATGAAGTAAAAACTACTTGGGATCACCAAGTTGAGAAGCTTTTGGACAATGATCGAGTAAGATTTTATGGGATTTTAAGATCCAAACAAACAGGCATCTTGTTCATATCATCCTTGATATAACAATTATTAAAAATAAGAAAGTCCAGTTCACTGATGTTGCTATACCAGATGATGCTAGGATTGAAGAACAACAATTTGAGAAAAATACATATTAATATAAATATATATAATACCGGGACTTGCAGATCAAAGTTGAACACTTACAGAAAAAGAAATTCATTGTTATATCAATCTTGATTGGAGTCCTCAGGGTGATACCTAAAGGACTTCCCTGATATCTAGAAATATTGAATGTATCAAACTTGAACATTTTTTTTTTTACAATGGAACTGCTTGGAACTGCCTACCTTAATAATTCTTAGGTCCTTGGTTATTATTTGAATTATTAAGTTTCTACCAATCTTTGACTGTGAATTTAACTGTAGATTATCTACATATAATAATGATGAAGACTTGGTATCTGTGACTCATAGTCTCAATACAACCAGAGGCCATAATATTGGAAAAAAGTATATAATCCATATACTATATGTAGATAAGAAATGATACCCAAATCTTTCAAATTAGGGTAATCATTTCTGAGCTGCAACAA